CCCCAAAACCCCAAAACCCCAAAACCCCAAAACCCCAAAACCCCAAATCAAAATTATTAAATGGAGTACTAATTATAAATTTAAATTCAAGATGAGAAAAGGCAACCAAGACTACAACATGAGGCAGTATCCTTCATCTAAAAGAAGAGGGAAAAATAAGTCTAAAGAAAACAAAGGAAGATATATCAATTACAGGACGTCGACTTCGTCATGTTCGAACCACAGTTACCTTAACCCGAGCATCATAAATAACAAAACGAGTGCAGTTCCGTTTACCGAGTGCTTCCCAGTCAAGGGCAAGAGGAGGAAGACTCCAAGCAAATAACAAAGATGACCGCCAGGTAAATGCCGTTAACTGTCGAGCTCTGTATTAAAGAGAATGGCTGTATTCATGAAAACTAACCTGGAATAGGTAAATAGTTATCTCCAGTCGGATATGAACGAAATGCTCCAAGGCATGATGAGCCAGCTATATCATACTGCAGGAGGCAATGGTAAATAAAATAAATCTTAAATCAAATACTCGAAAAGGAACTAGTTCAAAGAGAAAAGGACATTCCAAAGTATTTTCAATAAATGATCTTTTAGGAAAAACATAAGAATGCTAACAAAAGAAGACCAATGAGTGTATTTGAGCAATCTAGAGCAATTAATAATCAGACTATGCTTAACGAAATTCAGTTTGATAGAATGAGGAATTCTAAAATTTCTCCCAATCCTCCTCAAGCTCCTTTATCTCAGCAAATTACTATCGATAGAAGGAGTGCATACACTCAAATATCAGCTCTGAGAGATATTCAAAAGATCCAGAATAAGCTTGAAATGAGGGCAAATGTGAGCCCTGATAGAAACTACAGCGATGCAACTACTGCAACGGGGAGTCATGATGAAAGAAGAGTCTCGATTTACTTAAGAGCTCTTTCTGAAGTTGCTCAATCTAATCCAGAATGTTCTAGTCTGTTCAATTACATCACTGAATTAGTTGACTCTCTCTTTCAGTCTTTACTCAAGAAGAAAAATGATGAGAACGAGTCCATAGCTCAGAAAATTGAGAAAACAAAAAAGGAGATTCTTGAAGAAAGAAGAGGAAAAGAGAAAGCCCAAAATTTGTACCAGAAATTGTAAGAACTTTAGCCTCATTAGCATAATTACCATCTTCTAGGTTGTCTGCAGGAGATAATATAACTACAATGGAAGAAAAGAGATCGCTGATCCAACAAATGCACCAAAAGATTCAAAATAAAGAAGAGCAGAACAAACAATTAGCTCTTGAAGTCAGAAAGTTAAGAAAAAGAGAACTTGAGATAATAAAAAGATGGGATATGGATGACATTGATTTAGTCACCGAGCGACTTAAATTAATAAAATCAACAGCCTCTTCAGACTTTTCAAAAAGTAACTTTCAGAATCTGATTATAGAATCATCAAAACTAAACAAGAAGGCCAGAAAATCTAATATTGTTCCAACTCTTGACTTTACCAGAGTCTACGAAATTCAGAATGAACAGAACATGGATTATGAGGAAGAAGAGGAAGAAGATGAAGAAGAGCAAGAATTTGGTACTAAACATTCTAATCAATAGACCATGGCCATCTCTCAGAATCAGCAAAGAGACAGATCGAACTTCAAAGCAGAAAATAACAAGATCATAGCTATTTTGAATAATCAATGTGACGGAAAAGAGGAAGAAAGCGCCCCAGAAAGTATCCCTCAGAGCGAAGATTCGCCAAGGACTAAGCTTCGCAAAAAACTTGGTGCAGCATTTTAGGTATTTATTAATGCTAAAACTTTAATCAGTCCTTTCTTTCGTCACTCTAGTAGACTTTTAAAACTTACTTCTTTAAATATTTGAATCTTATCAACTTGAATTTAATTATAGATGGAAGAATAAAAGAAGAGAAGAATAAACTAGCAGATCAGAATAGATAACACTTCTGATAGTCTAAATGCATAAATTATTATTAAATATTTCCACTTCATCCTATTAAATATAAAAGATTCAAAAGTGAAATATTGTCTAATCTTATTTACCATTCCAATCTTTCTTCAAAAGTTAAATCAAAAACAAAAGATCTAAAAATGCCGCGAATTACTGAAAAAGCTGTAAAATTTGTAGGTTAGCATGCTTGGTATTTGCTTCATACTATTCCTACCTTCTATCTGATCTATCTACGGTATGGATAATTACTTATCTACAGGATCTAAGTGGAAGGCTACTGTTCTAGTCTTCTGATAAAACATGAGAATAATAAATCCCACTTTATGCATTTCTAGCTATAATTTAAATTCCAAAATTTTAGATAATAAACTTGGACTCAACTAGAATTAATCAAAAAGGGGTTTTGGGGTTTTGGGGTTTTGGGGTTTTGGGG